ATATGCTCTTGATATACTTTGTGAAACTGGATTTCTGGGTGCTCGACCGGCTTCTACTCCTCTTCCTCAGAACCAACGACTGGCTCTAGCACGTGGCCCACTTCTCACTAATCCAGAACGTTATCGCAGACTTGTAGGGCGCCTCATCTATCTCACGATCAGTCGTCCTGACTTGGCATATGCAGTTCATGTGTTGTCTCAATTCATGGGGGAGCCGCGTCAGGAACACTGGGACGGTGCGACCCAGGTTCTACGGTACATCAAGGCCTGTCCCGGGCAAGGATTGTTTCTTCCAGTACAGAGTGATCTTACCCTTAAAGCTTTCTGTGACTCTGATTGGGCTGGGTGTCCCTTGACTCGACGTTCTGTTACTGGTTATTTTATCACTCTTGGCGATTCTCCGGTCTCTTGGCGAACAAAGAAACAAAGTGTCGTTTCCCGATCTTCGGCTGAGGCCGAATACAGGGCTATGGCAACCACTGTTTGTGAACTAAAATGGCTGAAATCCCTGCTTTTCTCCCTTGGTGTGCGTCACAAACAACCCATGCGGTTGTTTTGTGATAATCAGGCAGCCCTCCATATTGCAGCTAATCCTGTCTTCCATGAGCGTACGAAACACATTGAAATTGATTGCCACTTTGTGCGTGACGAAATCCAACGAGGTGTTTTGTGTACTCGCCACATCTCCACCAATGAACAACCGGCAGATCTCTTTACAAAGGCTTTGGCTTCCGCTCCATTTTCCCATTTGCTGTCCAAACTGGGCATCCAGAATCCGCATGCTCCAGCTTGAGGGGGGGTGTTGGGCGGTGCTCCTTGGACCACACGGCAAGAAGGAGAGAAAATCCCATTCTAAGTGGGATTGCTCTTGATTTGTTTCCTTGTTCATATTTAGTGATTTGTTTCCTTGTAGGAATAGAATTCCTTTTGTGTTTTGGTCTTTATCCTCTCCTATAAATAAAGGAGAAACTCCTTGTACTTAGCAGAACAATTCAATATACAGAATATTTTCCCTCTTATTATTTTCTTCAATATGGATTAGTCTAATTACCTCTCTAACACTTTGTTTTATAGTCCCTCCATCCCAAATTTACTTTACTAATTTTTTTTGAAATAATTACTTTTCTAAATTTATTTAAAGAGTAGTATAAATCTTTAACATAAAATTCATATATTCAAAAAACTCTTAAACTATCTAAAAAATAAGAGATGACATGATCGTTATGTTATTATCATTAATGATGAATGAAACTAAGGGGCTGTTTGACAACTTCTGAATAAGTAAGTGCTGAACCAGTAAGAGGTCTGAACCATTAAGTGTTGAACCAATAAGAGGTCTGAATTATTAAGAGCTAGTATATTGCTTAACCATTAAGTGTTTTTGTTTTTTTTTAATTTTACAAATTTGCTTATGTGATAAAGTCAATGAAAACATTAGGTTCATGACATAATTACTCAAAAGAGAAAAATTTAAATCATTATTCCATTTGTATAGAATTAATCTCACTTCAGCATTCACAATTTCACATGTCAAACCTTTTTTCAGTCTTTACTTAAGGGCTGTTTGTTTCAGCCTCTTAATGGTTCAGATGTCTGAATGGTTCAGCACTTAATGGTTCAGACTGTTTGTTTCAGCCTCTTAATGGTTCAGATGTTTGAATGGTTAAGAGATTTGCCTCTGAATGGTTAAGTATTATACAGAGTTTGAATGGTTAAGACCTCTTATCTGAATTGATCAGACATTTGCCTCTGAATAGTTAAGCAATATACTAGCTCTTAATGGTTCAGACCTCTTACTGGTTCAGTACTTAATGGTTCAGACCTCTTACTGCTTCAGCACTTACCGATTCAGGAGTTGCCAAACAGCCCCTTAGTCTAGTATGGAGTAATCTCTAACGGGATAGATACCTTTCATCTGGGAAATTCGTAATATGAAGTACATGATGACCATACAATGCCTTATGGTAAAATTATTGGACGTGGTACGATTAATTATTGAATTGAATCATAAGACATTTAATTTAAACTGTACTAAAAGTTTGAGTCCAATCGATACTAGTTTAACTCAAAAGCTTATATTCATTATTTTTTTCTTTAACTTCCGATCTAAGTAGAGATACTTCTTAAACTTTCCATTAAGTAGACAAGGTCATTTTGAATATAATCAATTAGAAACTTACAAATATGTTCCCTTTCCATTGAAACGAATATATGAGCGGTAACTCCTAATGAATTTTGAGTCGCTGGATATGAAATTCCAGAAAAACAAAATGCCCTTAAACCCGTATATGCCTTAAATTCGTTGTTTTTCTTTTCAACTAATAATTCCTTAATCCAAAATGAGAAATTTAATATGAAATGTTCTACATAAACAAAGAAGTTAATTTAATAGGGAATGTTAAAAAACCCAAAGTTCTAAACTCATTGTTTTTGTCTTCAACATACAACTTTTTTTAGTTTTAGTTGAGAAATTCTAACCTAAAACAAGTAATACAATATGAAATCTTCAAAAAGAAAGAAAGAATGTATAGTAATACGAAGGAAAGAATTGGGAATTCTTCCTTTGTCCTAAATAGGTTTTTATTTACTATTTGTTAGGTTAAAATTTAATTTCTTTCCTTACCAATTCCCACTACTTATTTGATAAGAATAGTAAAATAAACTAACTTCTGCATATTTTATGTTGCAAATTTTTTTATTTAGTTTTTAATCCGGTGTATATATATTTTACAAATATTTTTTTATTTTACACTAGTTTTCAAATAAATTGGGTTAAAACTAATTTTAAGAACACATAATTCGCAATAAAAACTATTTATGAGAACAAGTGGAGTAAATATTATTTTGAAAAATGAGGATACACACAAACACACCCGTTGGTGTGTCTATATATATATATATATATATATATATATATATATATATATATATATATATATATATATATATATATATATTGGTTCTGGTGAGAATGCAATCTTAGGAGAGAAATGAGAATGAATCTAGTGCTTTAGATTGTGAGATCTAAGGGTCAAGATTTCATCAAAATTAGATGCACCAAAATGGTGCGAAAATGCATCACGTCGAAATGCACCATAAACCTTCGAAAATGTACTATCTCAAAATTTGAGCGCAGGATGCAATCTGAGCCGTACGATGCATCAGATCCGACGGCTAGATTTTATTCTCATTTCTCTCCACAAGGTGCATTCTCACGGGAACGGCCCCTATATATATATATATATATATATATATATATATATATATATATATATATATATATATATATATATATATATATATATATATATATATATATATATATATCGTCCAACCAAACAGAGTGTTGAGGCGTTACGGGTTACGTCAATGCTTGTTTTAAAAACTTTGTTGGATAATGATTAATGTGGAGAAAGAGATGGCAAAAGGTAGTGATGAGTGGAATTTAGTCCAAAAGTACCAACCAGCCTATCACGGCTGTCAGATTTCAACAAATTTATTGGACAATTATGCAATAATGAAAACAAATGGGGCCTGAACATAAATATATTAATTTCGAACACAAAACAAAGGCCATGGTTAAAGATATACCAAATTGAAAGAGCTGGATTCACATGGGTCGTGTTTTCGTTTCTTCCCATGGGTCCTCTCTCTCTCTCTCTCTCTCTCTCTGAACCGACAATTATCAGCTTTGAAGGATAATACTCCGTAATAAAGATCAATAAAAATACCCATTTCTCTTCTTCTTTTTCCTCCTCAAGCTTTCTTTTTTTTTCCCTCTGCATTCTTTTCTTTCATTTCTAGGGGGAGTTATGGCCCAGGATCAGGTGAGAATTTCCCCCTCTTTTTCCTTTTTTTTCTTTTTTCCCCTCTTTTTTTGTTCGGTATAGAAAGCGATATTTGTTCTAATTTTACAAAACCCATTTTGAATGTTCAATTTGCTTAGAGAGTTCATACTAACTGTGCCCATCATCACTCTTAGCTTGTCATTAGTTATGCTGCTGAAATGAGTTTTTTTTTTGTTTTTTGTTGGGTAGAAAAAATTAGGGTTAGTATCAGTAAAGAATTGCAGTGCTGATTTCGTACTTTTATTCTTGTCTGAGTATACTAACAGAGAATTGATCTGGCTTGCTTTCATGTTTTCTGGGATGATCTGTAGGTTCTTGCTATTATTCTGAATCATGGGTCTGTTTTCTTTTATTTAAAAATTGTTTTTTATTTGTAATTTCAGTTGTGTTATCTTTGTTTCCACTAGTTGGAATCTGATAATTTCTGCTAGTGCATGATGATTTGTACTTAAAGCTCAATATTTTGATAGATGCCATGTACTTGGTCTGAATTCTTTGTTCTAGCTTGTTTTCTTTTCTTTTCGTGGGATGCTTTGATTGTGCTTTACTTCCTTTTATTGCCCTATTAGGGTTTGCTTGTTCGGGGGATTTTATTATTTATTTCTATATTTATTCTTGTTTTACTAATTTATCTCAATTTGTAGTAGTAAATATTAAAATAACTATATCTCACATCCTTTCTGACCACCTAAAATTGTTATAAATATTAACATCCGTTATTCGTTTTGGGTATGTGTATTTTAGGAGATGGCTGCTCCTATTGTGGACGGGAATGACGCTGTTACCGGTCATATAATTTCCACAACCATTGGGGGGAAGAATGGAGAGCCGAAGCAGGTAATAGAACCGATTTCCCTTCTCTTGTTAGATTGTTAGCTATGCAAAGCCTTATACTTTCAGCATGAAGCATGTTCATTTTAGCATAACTAAATGTATTGTGTTTTTGAATGATTTAGGTATATGACTAAATATATCATGGATCCAAAATTCGGAGCGTTTATAGTTCTTTATAGTCTATACCCCTTATATAAGTTATGCTTACAAACCTTTTCACTGTTGGCCTCCCAAGTATCAGAGTATTCCCATTGTTGTTCTTCAACTTTCATTTTTTTCACTTCTTGATGCATGATCATAGAGTTGTTCGTTGAGTCCTTTTGTCCAATCATCCCGCAAAAATCTGCCTTAAATTTTACATGCAAGTGATCGGTAGGACCAAAAGTAGATAGAAATCAGCAGTCGTGCGTTGGAAGTAGAAAATGGAAGTTAGAGACCAATAGTGGAAATATCATAGTATAATCAGAAAAGCTCGAAAGCGTGGGACTTTTAATTTCCATGTTGAATTTTGGTTTTTATTTGATACTCACGGTTCAAGATTTGTTACCTAAATAGAGAATAAACTGTGCAGACAGTTAGTTACATGGCTGAGCGTGTCGTTGGGACGGGATCCTTTGGAGTTGTTTTTCAGGTACAATGCATGTATTTATTACTCCCTTCGTGGCTCCACCCTATATCTTTCTTCCTCTTTCCTTACATAGAAAGTTTATTCACCTTTTTACAGCTACAAGACTACCCTTTTTTTTGCAATATTCACTTTTTTACGTCTCTTCACTCTCTTGTCAATGTACTCCACCACCAAAGGTAAAAATGAAAAGTTAAACATTTTTTCATTTTACTTTAAAAAGTGTGCCAAGTCAAAACAAGAAGAAAGATATCGGATGGAGTGAGTATAATTAATTTTCTCTCTCTCTCTCTCTCTCTCTGGGGGAGGGGGGTAGGTTTAGTTTGGTATAAAATGGGTTGGGGAAATGGTTTCCGAATTTAAACCAAACATGTTTGTCTTAGTTTGTGTTTAGGGTTTAAGGGTTTTATTATTGGGTTTTTTTTTGGTTTGGTTATTACTGGTTTCGGGTTGGTATAAAATAATACGGTTTGAATTTGATTAAAACCGAATTACATATGGTTCGACCAAACTGAACCAAAATGCCCAGCCCTCGTAAAAATTGGTCTGCATTGGATGTTTGTGGGTGTTTTAGGCAAAATGCTTGGAAACCGGGGAAACGGTGGCTATTAAGAAGGTGTTGCAAGACAGGAGATATAAGAATCGCGAACTGCAGTTAATGCGCACAATGGAACACCCGAATGTCGTCTCTTTGAAACATTGCTTCTATTCGACCACAACCACAAATGAGCTTTTTCTCAATTTGGTCATGGAATATGTTCCCGAATCCATGTACCGAGTGCTCAAGCATTACTGCAATATGAACCAGCGAATGCCACTCATATACGTTAAACTTTACACTTACCAAGTAAGTCATTTAAGCCAATTTTTTTTTAAAATGCATTTCTATTTAGTTTTTATTATTTCACTATGCCATGTGCTTCACACGTTCGTTTCCTTGTTTTTGTTTAATTTGGAACTTCTTCAGGTATTTAGAGGGCTGGCATACATGCACACAGTTTCTGGAGTATGCCATAGAGACCTAAAACCTCAAAATGTTTTGGTAGATATTATATTTTGTTCTGATTTTTAGCTAGAATTTGTGTGTTTGTTTTCTTTTGCTTGTTTATCTTAATGTTTCCTTGATGGCAACAGGTTGATCCTAACACTCACCAGGTTAAGATTTGTGATTTCGGAAGTGCAAAAGTACTTGTAAGTGTATCGCTTTTATGATGGTATGATTAAGCTTGAACACCAAGAGCCTGTTTGGCAGGCTTTGTTTATCCACCGGGGTTTCACCAAATACTAACTTACTATAACCAGCGTATTTTGACAGATGGCAGCAAAGAAGTTAATCTTTTTAGGTTGAGACAGATATCTCTACCAAAAAAACTCTACCCACTTTCCCTTTTTGGACATCCCAAAAAACATTTTAACCACACACTTTTCATCACTTTTCTTCAATTCTTTGAAAGTCATATGGGCAAGTTTTTTTGGGATAGATGGAGTATTTGTTTTGATTTATTTAAAACATGAAAATCCAAATGGAAAATAAAAAAAAGAGTAATGCTACTTTAACCCCGGGATCGATACCAAGATTGACACCATCAGACTATCAGAGAGAATCATGCACAAGAGTCATTGTTTCTTTACAAAGTCATTGTCCATGAAATATTTGTGGTGTCAACCCTGGTGTCACCTGAGGGGTGACGGTAGCATGACCCAAAAAAAGCCAAACCGTACCAAAATAAGCTTGGTTTTAGAGAAGTGTTATGACTTGTGTGTGTTCACAATGATGCATCATATGTGTATCAGGTTAAAGGTGAAGCAAACATATCATACATTTGCTCTCGGTTCTATCGGGCCCCAGAACTTATATTTGGGGCCACAGAGTATACAACCTCAATAGATATTTGGTCAGCTGGCTGTGTCCTTGCTGAGCTTCTCCTCGGACAGGTTTGTTGTCACAATTTTTTTGTCAAAATAAACAGTCCTACCTTATTTCATTTGTTTAATGTTTTATTGCTACTTTTTCTGCCTTGTATTCATCCAGTTTGAGTTTGACTTTTTGCAGTCAAAGTGGACGAACTTTGATCATCAATTAGATAAAAATTACATTGCATATGAATACGATAAAGTAATGGTTTGCCCGATACGTCCAAGGAAATCATTTTATTATTATTATGCAATGCGGTTTTTATTTAATTGACGGTCAATGTTTGTACAATATGATTGCAAACCGTCAAACTGGACGAAAACACTTGGAAATAGGTACTCGTAGTGTTTGTTTTCTAGATCCTAACATTATGCTTTTTTTTTTCTTTAATAGCCATTGTTTCCGGGAGAGAATGCTGTTGAACAACTTGTGGAGATAATCAAGGTACCATTGATTATTTAAAATGTCAAGTCATCCACATCGGCCAAATATTAAAAAAAACACAAACCAAGAGGTTCCCCATGCCCCAAAAAACGTCCCACAGTTTGACTTTCACGTAGTTAAAAGAATGTTGAAAAGTGAAGTGTATTGTTAGAATTTGTTTAGCTAAGAGAGAAATGTTTAGAATCACATTCTCATGGTGAATAAGGAACTAAAGTAAAAAGTGTCCTTTTGGATGTTCAAAATGAAAAACCTAGTAAAGTTTTTCGAGACGTAGGGAGTATAAGATTTTAGACTACTCGGTATACCTTTTAGGAAAAAAATCCGAATCTTAATAAATAATACTCATAATAGCCAACCATTACTTTATAAATTTATTAATAATCGGTTATGTCTTGATGTTATTTATTGTCTAGGTTCTTGGAACTCCAACACGCGAGGAAATTCGTTGTATGAACCCGAACTATACCGATTTCCGGTTTCCTCAAATAAAGGCCCACCCTTGGCACAAGGTATATCTCTTTGACATATGTTACTTTTTTCAGGTCTTCAATGGTCCGTTTGGAACTTGGAAAATGCTAGGGAAAGAAAATAAAGATGATAAATGGATTGCATTACATTGTAAATTTGGAAGGATGGAAAATGTGTGGGTAAAATGCAAATTTTGCTTCAAACTCCATAAATCTATTTTAAATATTTTTCGGACTCATTTTATTTTAATATTTATGTTATTATAAATATAATTCTAAGAAATCTAAACATATTTTTTAAAAAGACTACGTGTTTCACCTTCATTTAATTTTTTCGTGGTAAAATCAACACATGAAAATAACTTAGCATTTGTTTTCATTTCCTTGCCATTTTCCAGAGTTTCAAAAATAGCCCAAGTGATTCTTTTTTATTACTCGGTATTATTGTGTGATGATTTTTTAGGTTTTCCATAAACGCATGCCTCCAGAAGCAATTGATCTCGCATCTCGACTGCTACAGTACTCTCCAAGTCTGCGTTGCTCTGCTGTAAGCTCAGCCGACATTTCTTGTTTGAAATGATTTTTTTAAACAATGTCTTAATGTGGTTTGCATGGCAAATTATATCTTCCTTGTTTGGTGAGCACTACACATGAGTGATTACATGGCTTCTTTTTTGCAGCTAGAAGCATGTGCTCATCCTTTCTTTGATGAGCTTCGAGAGCCCAATGCTCGGCTTCCAAACGGGCGCCCGTTGCCTCCACTTTTCAATTTTAAACAGGAGGTATGCCTGCGCTCTACAAATCCCCTATATTGATGGGCCATGTTCTTTTCATCTTAATTTTACTCAGTAACTGGACTCTAAAGACTAATAGTTAGGTGGGTGTTTCTCTGCTTATAGGTCAGCTGATGACGTGTTTTTGTGTGCTTATAAGTTGATTTATAAGTTTAAAAAAACTAGGTCTTACCTCCTTATTTTGCAAGCCCATTTTTTCATTTTTTTCGTTTTGATTAAATCACTTATAAAGCTGTCCTTAACCTTTTATGAATATATCCAATTGACTCATCTCTCATTTAAGTCACTTCACAAAAAATATTTTGATAAGCAGCTTATAAGTTAAAAATTGTTTAACTTATAAGCACCAGCACAAAGAAACGCCTCCTAGATTTGGATCATGGTTGCTACAACCTTTAATAAATATTAGTATAAAACTATGAAAATTTTAGCTAAAACTAGTACCAAAGTTGAAAAGAACATGGCCTAAATGGTTTTCTCATCCCCTACTTGACCGGTCCTAGAAAAGTCATCAATTTTCTTCCAAAGAAAGAATTGCGTAGCTAATATTGATACTTTATTTTCTTAATAATAAATTTAAGTCCAGTCAATCATTTGAGTCATAAATCATCTATCCCGGACACAAAGTGCCCGGGATACATGATGATTTTGCAACATGAATCATTCGTTATCAGTTATCACAAAAGACATTATTGCTTGTGCTTATTAAGTAAATTCCATAAATGATCCCTTATAACAAGTGATTATTCATATTTAGTCCTCAATTCTAAGATATTACATTCGTGGTTTTCAATTTTTGAAAACTATTTCATAATTAGTCCTCTATGCCAAATATGACCAAATATTTTTTTTTCCAAATATAGTTCGCAAAGAGTTCGCAAAGGACTGGTTATGGAAGAATTCTAAAAAACCAAGGACCACGACTGTAATATGTAATTATTGGGACCGAAATATGAAAAACCCACATGTTATAAGGGACTATTTATGGAATTTACTCTTATTATTATTATCCAAATATTTTTTGCAATTGCTGTAGTTGCATGGGGCCTCGCCGGAGCTCATCAACCGATTGATACCCGACCACATGAAGAGGCAACTCGGCATGCAATCATTCCCGTCCCACGGCGGAGGCTTGACGTGAAACCCTAACTTGCAACCCCATACTCGTCAATGCCCGGGACCCACCAAACAGAGTGCTTCGATAGACAACCCACCGTGGAAAACGACTGTATCTCCGAATCGCCGTGCGTAATTATATGTCCTTTTACGAAAAAATGTATTATTGTTGTTGTACCATTTTTTTTCCTCATGTTTCTGTTCCATTCTGCAACAACCTCAGTGCCACCTTATGGAAGAAATCCCATTTGGTTGAACCAAAGACAACTAAACAAGTTACATGTATGGGAGCAGTGTGAAGTGAAAGGCTCCAAAATTATTGGGAAAAAAACTGTTCTCTTCTTTTTTTTTCCTTTAAAAAAAATCTTTCCAATGTGGGGTTTTGTCTTTATAATGTGTCTTGGTTCAATGTTCCATAACATGTATTGTTGTATCTATATTTACCTAAGATTAATGTTTCATACCATGTATTGTTGTTGTAGCAATATGTTTCGTAAGTTTCGTTGTTTTTCGTCCATTTCTTTTTTTCCCTCATTTGCAGAGGAAAATTTTCATTTGTACAGAGTATTAAATATATTCTGTGATTTATTTTTAAAATAGAAACGTTGTCATTTTAACATTTGGTAGAATTTTGGCTTCAATGTATGCTGCAAATTTTAATGTTGACTCCCAATCCATTGTGGTCATTTTTCGGATTATTACTTATTTGTGGCCTTGTTTGGAAAAAATGTTTTTAGTTAGCGCTCATGCGTAGAATAATTGATAAACGTTGTCATAAGATAGTTTTGAAATACAGAATAATAATCTTTCTCCTAATTCTACCATCTCTTTTTGGAGTTTTCAAAAATACTTTCCACTAGTTTCTTTTTTTTAAACTTTTAACAAGTGAATGTTTATTTGACATCTAACATTTCTCTTCTTTCTAAATAAATCTTAATTAAAAAATTACCTTAAATAAGAGTAGAACAAAAAGAAAATGCTAAAGTAGAAGTTTAAAATTTGTATAATTGTATTCACAAAATAGAAGTTTGTTATGTGGTAATGTGGTTTTACAATACATTTTGATAATTTATATGGTAATACTGGCATGCATTTTAAATCCTATTTTTTAGAATAAAAATATGAGTTCTATTTTAGTATATTTTCTATATTTTATTTATATTTTAGTATTTTTTCCATTTTAATTATATATACTCAGTATTTTTAAAAAATTAGTATAACATACTTCTTCTCTGATAAAAAGTCAAAAGGAGCAGATGTTACAGACTACTAATACTCAGTAAAGTTTTTTTTGGAGGGATGGAGTATTATTTGGTATGCATTAAAAAGAAACGTGATATTTTAGTCCAAGGCAGTGCTGGTACGCGGTCATTTCTAATGGGCTGTTTCGATTTTCATGACAACTACTTTCCACTCATATTTAAAGGATATTTCTAATGATCTTTTATTGAAATAGGATATTTGAAGTTTTTTTTATAAAGAAATAAAAATTATAATGTCAAATAATTTAAAAAAAAACAATGTGAAATTTCAATAAATAATGTCAAGTTGTAGATGTTTCAAAGTGTTAACATTCATATTTAGGCCATAAAAATAGATGAAGTCTCATTTCGATATACGGAGCGGAGTAAGTTTCAAGTCATTATCTTACTCAAATTGATTTCTTAAGTTTATCTTAGCAATGACACAAAAAAAAGTTAGAAATTCATCTTAAAGCGGAGTAATTTCTTAACCGCGCATTTAAATTTTTGACCTACGGTGTATATGAAGTTGATTTCTAGTAATAATGATGGGCCTGTTTGGGAATAGTGTTAGAGATTAGCGTTAGCGTTTTGGATAGAATTTTAACGGTGCAAATTACTTTGAAAACGTTAACGCTAAACACTGGCCGTAGATAGCTTTTTCAAAACGCTAACGCTAATCTCTAACGCTATTCCCAAACAGGCCTGATGTCATACCAATTTTGGATTTAATAGCGAAGGGAGAATAGAGTACTACTTCGCTTTACCATCTCTTCACTCTTGTAGCTTTGTTGAAATATATGGATAACAAGTGTAAAAGACTTCTCGTAATATGCACTACAAATTGAGAATATATTCGAAAAAGTCAAATTGGATTTACCTTATTAAGAAATTTCAAAATTTTATTTCATTGTATTAATATGTGATACAATTTAAAAATAATAATCAAATGTTTTGTCTTTAATACTACCTAATACTACTGACTCTATTACATTGTATTTTGGGAGTGTCATAGAAGTATAAAACCACACGCGTTATCGTCAAGGGCATATTCTGGGAACGTCAAGTCCCTTCAAATCTCAGGGAATGTGAGATTCAAGTCTCACATTCCCATCTATCAAACATTTCTAACAAGCTAATATTTTGAAACAAACGGATCTTAAGTTATTTGTACCAAAACCCACACCCCTAGCTTCCCATTAATCTCAGAAGATTAAACTAAAGATGCATTTGATATTGTTGAGAATAATATAAAGTTCCACAACGAGCACCTAGGCTAAAAAAAACTATAAAACGGATTGAAATATACTGTCTCTATTCCATATTAACTGTCTAATAAGACATTCTTGATCTATTGAAAAACAAATGAATGTAGACATAAAGTGTGTCTACATTCATTCACTTTTCAATGTATCAAGAATGTCTGATTGGACAACAATTAATACGGAATGGAGGGAATATAAGAATATAAGCATGACTTTGCAAAGAGTTTATGCCATTTGGTTTGAAATAGAAAGATAAAGAGACACTTTACCTAATTACCATAAGTAGGGAGAATGGGTGTTTAATGGAACAACTAGAATCTCTATAAAATGTAAATAAATGAATCAAATGGAAAGTTAACCCCACTGTTTTAGTAAAGCATCAACAACCCATAACCCTAATGCATGTTTCCTTCACCTATGTCAAAGCATGGGCTAATTTAATTCATACCAAGAAGAAAAAAACATGAACCAAAACCAGGGAAAAAGATTCAATATATTGACAAACCATAAAATATATCCCAAGTAGTTAAAACATAGATTTACATACTTTGAATAAAAATACAACAGCGCCCGTCTCGCGGAAAGAGCGTAAAAACGTGTGATTGATACAAACAAATCTTAGTTGACAATAACAATGAAGAATATCCTAATAAACTAAATGAAACAAGCAATTGATTCAAACTCATTTACAGCCTCTGCACAGACACAGGATCATGAAAACTATCACGAAAAGAATCGCCGATAAGAAGATTGCAAAACCGATAAAGAGCTTACTTGGACCATGGCTATGGTGGCGAGGTTCGTCACCATCATCATTGTCATCATCATCATCACCATTATCACCATCATCATTGTCATTGCTGCCACTAGTAATGGAGCTCGAAGGAGGGGACATGGGCAAGCCATGCTTATCGCAGGGGGCAATCCCAAGCTTCAGCTTAGAGGACATCAATGTAGTGTGGTTGTAACAAAGGTTCGAATTCTCGCCGATCTTAAGAACAGATAATCTCTTGATGAATGAGGCATTGAATGGGAAAATCCCCTGGAAGTTGTTGTTCTCAAGATTCAAGAATTTCAGACCCTTCATCTCAGATAGGAACTTGGGGATGGTTCCATTGAGCTGGTTGGAGCCCAGATCGAGATGAACCAGTCCTGGGATTGCTGCTAATGAATCTGGAATGGGGCCTGAGAGTGAATTCGAAGACAGAGACACGTTCTTCAGCGAATTCAAGTCCCCGAATGAAGTTGGGATTGTTCCATTGAGTGAATTTGAGGAGAGATTTAAAATTTCTAGGGTTTCGAGCTCAGTTAGGGATGAAGGTATTCTCCCTCTGAGGCTATTTCCGGACAGATCGATGTAAGTGAGATTAGGGTTCCAATGTCTGGGAAGAAATCCGGTGAGATTCGCCTGAGAAATCGTGAGGGATTTCAGATTTTTGATGCTATTGAGGATGACGAAAGGGCCGCTGGCCTTGATCGGAACCCTAGAGACGTTCAATTCGGAGAGACTCTGGAGGCGGCCGAGCCAGACTCCGGTGAGCTTCTTGAGGCTGTTGACGGCGGTGAAGGAGCGGAGATTGGAGGCGAGCTCGGAGGGGAAGCGGATGGGGGAGATGGGGCAGTCGACGAACTCCAAATCCGTCAGGGTGGAGAGAGACTTGAGGGCGGTGAGGGACAATGCGACATCGTCGGAGCAATTCGAGAGCTTGAGGGAGATCAGGTGGCGGAAGGGGTCGGAGCCGTCGCAGACGGTGACGGAGCTGTGGAGGGGAGAGCAGGGGTCCTTCCCGGTGGGGAGATTCAGCGACTGGAGAGCTCTCAGCTGCTTCGGGTCGAGGGTGGAGGTGGAGATCACCGGCGGCGGTGGTTCGACGCCGGCAGAGGGCGCGCTAGCCGGAGAAATGGTGGAGGAGCTGGTGGCCGTGGGAAAGAGGAGTAAGATGAGAGTGAGGGAGCTAAGAAGGCGTTGAAGATCTGCAGCCATTGGAGCTGGCGGTTGTTTTCTCAGGCAACGATAATGGAGGTTTTGTACTGTACTTACCCCATTAAGGAGAAGATGGGGAAAATGTTGGGAGAAAGAAACTTAGCTAAGTTATAGTAGCACACTAACACATGATTACACGATTCAAATTAGACACTTATTTTTCATTTGTAAAATTAATGATTCTTATAGTTTAACTAATTTTCTCGGATGAGACGATTATTATTCGTGCTTTATTTGGTTAAGAAAATACGTATTACGATAAAATTATAAGTGCGAAAAAAGTAATGGTGCCATGGTAAATATACAAAGTAATATTGTACCACAATTTTTCAATTTAAAATTACTCCCTCCACTATCGAACAATTTGCAAAATATTATCTTTTAAATAAACTTATTTACAAATTAATATAGAAATAAAAAGTACAACTTACATATTTTGAAATTACATAAACAAGCACGCAAATAAGCGGTGACATGCTTATTTTTAATTAAATGATCAATTCAACCGCACACGTAAACAAATATTATCGAAAGACAAGACTAATAGGATAATTTTGTGACAGAGAGTGTTTTCACGACAAAAATTGATTATTAATTTAATAAAAATGTTGTTACATATTAGTACAAAAATGAATTAATTAGATTGATCTTGTCAAATATGAGTTTATTTAAAAATTATTTTATTTTATTAATGTAAAATGTAATATTTATTTAAAGTTTGTTTACTTTAATTATAAAAAAATCAAGAGAACATGTTCTTGGGCTAAGATAGAGATAAATTTATGTAAACAAAGTAGTGAGCCCAAATGTCACAATTTCGGCCCCATATTAGCCAACCTGTACAAATTAACACTTTACCCAATTTCACGCGAGTGGCCCACCACTAGCCCCTTGTATTCCAATGAAATGAGAATTGACACAAATGTCCCTATATTGGACCCCACGATTAGCAAATCTGCTAGATTTTAGTTTGGGTTGTAAAATGGACCTTCTCATAGTTGGGTCAACCTCAGAACTAGGCCCGCTAGTTCCTGCTCTGCTTTTTTTAGCTCATAAATTGCAATTCTTTCATTTCAAAATACTCCCCCATCCATAA